AAAAAAAAAAAAATCAGTAAGGCTATAGATCTCAACAGTATTAAATGTTTAAGTCCCATATATCTCAGTGACAATATCTCAATTCTAAAATTTTAATAATAAGGGCTGGAGATGTGGCTCAAGCGGTAGCGCGCTCGCCTGGCATGCATGCAGCCCAGGTTCGATCCTCAGCACCACATACAAACAAAGATAAACAAAATAAAAATAAAAAATAAAATAAAATAAAATTTTAATAATAATGAACAATCACAACATACAACCTAGACAAAATATATCAAATGCCATTAGCCTAAAATCAGTTGAAGAGGTGCAATGTTTTTCAAGCAAAAATTTTGAAAGCCACTGGACTAAGGCAGCACTAGTCTATACCCTGTTTTCTCCAGTAATTATATTTATGTAAGTATAACTTCCTTCTTTCTATTAAAGACTTGAACTATAAGTGGAAATATTCTCTTTCCCTTTTTAATTTATTACATTTTTAAGTGATTAGAAAAATGTTACTATTGGCATTATGAAAATATTTATTTGCTATCCAAATTATTCTTTATGAACATCTCTACTGATTTTGATGGGAAGATGAAGGAATATAAAATCCTACTTAAAACCTACCTATCCATTCCTCTAACTCTGCCTGACATACTATTGCCATGTACACTGTTATACACTGGGAACTCGTAAATGGAAGCATTTCTGCTCTTTAGGCATTTAGTCCAGTGGCAGACTTAGACTGGCAGATACTATAACAGTGACTGGAGACATGACTATATCATGCTACAGGAACATTAAGATAAACTCAAAAGTAAGTGATTTCAGGTAGGAAAAAAAGAGTAGGAGGATAATATTACAGAAAGAGGGTTACCATGYACCAAGATATGGAAGAGAAGATTACATCATTGTGAAAAACAAAGGATATTTTCATGGTTGATATTCAAATTTGAAATGCCTATCCATTACCTAAACAGAACAACACTGACATAGTACACAAGGTGGAGAATAGATATGGAAACTCATTTGGTGATATAATTTTTATTGAATACCTTCTATGTACCTAACATAATATGTAAGAAACTGGAGAAGGTAAAGAAAAAATAAACTACAAAGGAGCTACCATTAAGGAGGGAAAAAAACATACAAGTAAAACAACTGTAGCATGAGCCTACAGAAAAGATAAAATGCTACAGAATATATAGTGTTAAAGGAGCAAAAAAGAAGAGAAAAAGTAGAATGTTTCCCCAAAACAATAATGTAAGAAATGCTTTTAAAGACAGATAAAGAATAGAGAATGAAAGTGAGTAGATAGAGAATGGATGAAATGTAGGAGTAAAACTACAAGGCAAAACCAAAGTAGTTCAGATAATACCTAGAGAAAAAAGAAGAATAGTACGGCAAAAGAGACTAGAAAAGCCAGATCACCATGGGGAGCAGGGTTTCAGGCATGAGTAAGATGATTAATCACCCCATCTAGTGGAGTAAAAAAGATATACTAGGGGTGGAGGCAGGGAATACCTCAAGACTGAAAAGAATTTCAATATATAACTCAGAGATGATGTAGTTTAGAAAGTAAAGCAAGAAA